TGTTTTGTTTATTCCTAAATGTCCCATCTCGTCATGGTATTTATATAAGACATGGTTTTCCATATCTACTGGAACATAAAATAAAACCAACCCATTTTCCTTTTTTCTATAGACCACACCACTACGCATTTCATAGAAACCATTTTCTTTTTTCTCTAACGAATTACGCAACTCCTTTAACTTCTGGTCCTTATTTTGACAAATAATCATATTCTCCTCAAATGTATTACTTTCTAAAACTAAAATATTAGTACAACGACTAAGAGCATCCACATGCTGCATGCGACTGCCTGACCGATGTTCTAACACATAATCATAATTTTGAAGTTCTAACGTCAACCTAGCTATTCTTGGGTTCATTTTTTTTTTTATTTAAAGTCAAAGTTAACGAATTACAGTCCGTAATTATTTTGAACTTCAAACCTTGCAAATAAACTCTAAACCTTTTAAGTGCATATATTATGGATAAAGTTTCAAGTTCGAAACTATGATACTTCGACTCTGCCTCACTATTTCGCTTACAAAAATAAAACACCGGATGCATTTTCCCATCTTTTTTTCCGTTGCATTAAAATTGCCCCAAACCCTATGCAACTTGCATCACAATGCAACTCTGTCTCATCATTCGGATCGTATAAAGCTAAAATAGGCGACAGCAACAATTTTTGCTTAAGCTTTTCAAAACATAACAATTCGGCTTCCCCAAACTGGAACTTTTTGTCTTTTTTTGTTAAATCATATAAAGGTTTTGCAATTAAAGAAAAATCTTTTACAAACCTCCGAAAATACGAACAAAGCCCAAGAAACTCTGAACTGATTGTAGCTTGGTTGGAATTGGGAAATTTTTAATTGCTTCATCCGCTCTAATACCATCTTCTGTAACAGTATATCCAAGATATATCACACAACTTACCGAAACCTCACAATTATCTAACCTAAGCTCTAAATTATTTTCAACTAACTTTCGAAAAACTTCTGCTAAAATTTCTAAATGCTCTTCTAGACTTTCCGTAGCTATCATTATATCATCCAAATATATAAAAACCTTATTTTGTTTTATCATATCTGAAAATATCTTATTAACAAGCCTTTGAAATGTTAACGGAGCATTGCGTAGCCCAAATGGCATTCTCAAAAACTCAAATTGTCCCAGCGGAGTTATAAACGAAGTAAATTTAATCGAATCTGGATCCATAAAGACATGAAAAAAAACCATTTTTTAAATCCAGTTTTGTAAAAACCTTTTTATACACTAACCTATCAAGCAAATCATCTATCAGTGGTATCGGATAATTATCCTTCACTGTCACCTTCTTAAGAGTTCTGAAATCAACACACATCCTAAGGTCACCAGTTTTCTTTCGAACCAGTACTATTGGTGACACAAACTCAGATTCCCTTGGCCTTATGATGTTTTTCTCCAAATACCCATCTAATAATTTCTGAAGCTCACCTTTTTCACTATATGATAAGCGTCGAGGTGGGCAACTGAACGGTTTAACATTACTTAGCGTCAGTTTCATCTGACTTCTGATCCTTGGTTTTGCAGGACGTAGCCACTCAATGTAATATTTTTTAAACAACGCAATAAGTTTAGTTTGATCCGAAAAACGGACATCGTCCCCCACTTTAAGATTAACATCATTATCAACACTTGGAAAAGTTGGCAACAACAATGAGTCAAACAAAGATTCACTACTATTTTTCACATTATCTCCGCACACACTTTCATTTACATCTTCCCTATTTTCACTTACATTATTTGTTAAGATTTCTTTCTTTTCTCCATTTTTCTTGAATTTCGTATTATTTTTTTAAAAAACATTCTTTTCTTCACTTTCACAATCATTACTACTACAATCATTCTTACAATTTACGCATTTTTTACGATCTTTATACTCAAATTTAGATTCACCCTCACACTTTAAGTTTCCCAATCCAACATTTTCACTATGATCTCGTAATATTTTAAATCCTCCAACTTTCAAAAAATCTCTACCCAAGACTGCATCATAGCCCATTGTCCTATCAGCTACCACCACAAAAATTACTAAAAGCTCTTCTCCGCCCAATATTGTAGAACACGAAAATTTTCCATAAGTTTGGACTCTTGTTTTATTTAAACCAAAAAATTCAGAATTAACATTTGAAAATAAGCTAACATGAATTTTCCTAGGAACGCTAGACTTCCGAATAAAACTAATAGGACTTCCGGAATCTATCAAGCAGTCTAGGGAAAAACGCAAATTACCAAAATTTCTAACAATAAATGAAAAAGACCTTACATATTCGTCCTCCTCCACATGATGTACTTCGTTCTTACAGGCTTCCTTCTTACGGTCTGGACACTCACTGACACGATGCTCTTTACTTCCACAGCCATAACAAGCTCCTTTCTCCCTAATAGGTTTTCGGCACTCCGACGCATAATGACCCAAAGAATTGCAATTGTAACACCTCACATCGGCACTTTTGGTAACAGTAGTATTCGAAGACTTTACCACCACTTTTCTCTGCCTAACCTTCGAAAATGCTTGCAGCAACTGCGTTTTGCTAGTATAGCATTGTAAATACCCCTGTACGAGCAACTGTTCATCCATAATGCCATCTATAATATATTCCACTAGCTCCTCCTCTTCCAGCTTCAACGGATTTGCCAACATAACTTTATCATTGTAGTATTCATTGAAGCTTTCTGTCTGTTGCCACTTACGCATCTCAAACTTTCTACGTAAGACCAGTTTGCTTTGTTTTGTACCGAATGCGTCTTTTAATTCCTCGGATACGCTTTCAGCACCATCATCTAATAACCCAGTACAGACAATGGGACAAACGCCACGATGCATCGCGATGACTTCTAGGCACTTCACTTTACGCAACGCAAGTGTGGCCTTGCACCCTGATGTAGGCAACTTTAGTTGCCTTAGCCACTCACGCAACTGAATCATCGAATAATCCTTAGCGCAAATTGGTTCTTCCATATAAAAAATTATCTTTTCGGTATATGTATCTTTTGTCTTTACAAACTTTTTCAACTATCCTTTCTCAGCTCCTCTTATATAATATCAATTCCTTTACATTTTTAACAGGACACCGTTACCTCCCTTAATTCTCTACAGGACACTCCGTTTCTCTCAAGTTTTTTGAACGCCACACTTTTTCTTCCTCAGTTTTTTACAGGACACTCTTTTTCCCTTTTAAGGTTTGAAAAAACCATTTCCTTTCTGAGCTGCACACAAGACGTATTTATTTCCTTTGCAGGACACTCAATTTCCTCTTCGGCTTCTTACAGAATACTTCTTCTGTTTCAATTTTTCGTTCTTCAATATATTTCGCAGTTTTTAATATTTTATATAGCTTTTGCCAAGAAAAAAAAATTAAAATTTTCTTTTGAGAAAAATTATTAAATGTTCGCCTGATCCCTACTTCTGAGCTGTAGGATGCCCGGGATAAAATCAAATATGTATATTCAGTTCGACGATCACATTTATTCTGATTCTAACTATACATTTTTCAATTCAAAAACTCTTACTCGCTAAATATTTTTTCCAACGAGTCACGTACACTGCTCCCCTTTTTCTATACATTCAACGAGCCAAAAGGTATACGCCCCTTTGAATATTTATACACAAATCCATACAAAAATCAGAATGAAATATATCCCAATAGAACTTGAAGGAAGATCACCCTATGTGAGGAATAAAAGAGTACTCCCCTTAACCTGATTTCTGAGCAATAAGTGAGATTTGTCGGTTTTGTACTCCTTTATTACTTGTTTAGGAGTCAAATAAGAGATCTCCTAAGTGAGCGACGAAATAATGCTCCCTGAGGCATGATTTGGGAGCAGTAAACGCGATTTCTCGGTTTTGTACTCAAGTATTGCTCGCTTAGGAGCTTAATGAGAGATTTTAATAAGAGTCCGTTGGTATATACTTCAACTTTTGTTTAAATATATTAAGTATGTATTTTATTACTTATAAATGCACCGTTAAATACTTTTCAGATTGCGCAAATTAGTGTCAGCATTTAAGTGTGACCTCCGGGTTTAAACATCGCATGGGTGACAAAGATGTCAGATAAGCAAAGTCACCTTCACAATTTCCCCGCTTGGTGGATTCCTGAACTGGCAGGAATCCTTGACACCCAGGAAATCATATAGGAGTACATACTTATATGTGCATATAGGTGAATATAATTCAAATCTTATCTTACCGTTTTGTTATTATTATGTTTTAATTTCATATGATTTCTCTGCAATATAATTCTAAAATTAAGCAATCATGTAAGACGTATCATTTATGTTTTATTTTTAAGATCTTGTAATATTGCACAAATGTACGTGATTAAAAAGTTAAATAAAAAAATTCAATAAATAGCAAAATCTATTTGGCTAATGTAAAATGTTCGTTATCATTGCTCCCTTATTACTCCTACAGGAGGTTTTCGGGATGTACATATCTAATGGGAGCACTCCTTTATTGCTCGTTCGGGAGGAATATGGGATGTTTTCTATGTGCACTCCCTTGTTGTCTTTTTGGGAGGTTTCTGGGAGGTAACTATGGGTGCACTCCCGTATTGCTCTATTAGGAGGTTTGTAGGATGATAATTCTGTGTGTGCTCGTTTAGGAGGTAAAAGGGATTACTCCCCCTCCTAGGATATCCAATGTTAAAGGGAGTATACAAAATGACAAGCTTATACACAGAAGCATAGGGAGCAATGGGAGTATTCGTATACTCCCAAGCGAGTACTCACCGAGCAATCGTACGATGCTCCCAAGTTCTACTGGGAGACAACATTTAAGAATACATACATATACAATATTCAAACAGACAAGAAACACAAACATAAATATATACCATAATATAGGGGAAATGTAAATGAGAGTATATAGACGAACTATTATGTCAGCTTACTACATGATGTGCATGTACACACAATACCACGTATACAACACTCTTTTCACTAAATGGCTTTTGATAACTTTAACGAGACCTTAACTTATTTTATTTTATAATTTTAGTGCAGTTTTGACAAAATTGTAATGCTTTTCTCCAAATACCCATCTAATAATTTCTGAAGTTCACCTTTTTCACTATATGATAAGCGTCGAGGTGGGCAACTGAACGGTTTAACATTACTTAGCGTCAGTTTCATCTGACTTCTGATCCTTGGTTTTACAGGACGTAGCCACTCAATGTAATATTTTTGAAGTGAAACTTCTTAGGCGGCGGTATCGCAAAAATGGAGAGTGAAATTTTTAAAACTGAAAACGTTACATGAGTGAGAAGGAAGATATAGGTAGTATAGGGAAGGGGAAAAAAGAAATAAAGCGACGCATGATGGATACGAGTACCTACATATGTATATATGTATGTTTGAATGCACGTATGTATATATACATATATACTCATTGCGCATTTCAGCTCTGCCGCTACCAAGCAATATATGTATATGCAAGCGTGCTCCGCATAACTACATTCATTCGTACCCTGTGGGGAAAATCTCTAATTTTGAACTGGTGCGCTCCTAGTACATTTAGAACCACTACTAGTTCACGATAAATCTATTTTGCATGCAAACAACTGGCGAATTTAACACAGCGATCTCATAGGAATTGGAAATTGTCCCCCGCTGCATTACCTTTTCTATAGTTCAGAACCAGTCCTAAATTCGACATATGGGATCTAGTTCGGTTTGCACCCCATTTTCTATAGTTTCGAACCAGTTGTAAACGAAAGAAGTAACAAGATGTTTTCTTTTTGGGTTACCATGGTAGCAATTTTTATTATTTGAAGAGAAATGTATTTTCAATCTGAAATCAAATTTGTTTGAATGAATGTAAATTTAATTTTGCATTTGAAAACACGTTTACATACCTTTGGCTGTAGCTGAATTTGCAGAGGTGCTGACTGTTATTGATTATATTCCAGAAGGTCCCATAATGTTATGATGATAACACAAATATTAGTTTTGTATTACCAAACTATGAAAAAGCATCTGCGACGTGCATACTGGAAGCGTATTTGAACGAAAACCCCGCCAAGCAGGAATCTATTTAAAGTAAACACGCCCCCGCTGCATCCCTTTTTCAGTAGTGTCGAACTAGTTCTAAATTCATCATTTTAGATATAGATTTCTAAAATTGTTTTTTAAAAGTACCACATATCGCTGCTTTTGAACTGGTGGCGATCTAGTTACTATCGGATGGGTTCGTTTTTGGCGATAAAGATCTAGTACGGGACTACAAATTTGGTTCACCAGTTCGGGGTTTCCCTACATGGTATATATGTACATATGTTTGTGTGGATATATTTATGATGAAGCAAACGGGCTTCGTTGATGTGCTGATGGGCATATGTATGTACTTATGGACAGCAATGTTTTCATGTATGTACATATGTTTGTGTATGTACATATCGTCGTTTAAAGTACAAAACCGCGTATCGTCATTCTGCAAAACCGCGTAACTGACATTGGCTGCCAAAAATTGGATTTGCTCACACAAACTCTTGGCTCAATCCTCATCCATTCGTCCTGAAATATACTAGCCAGAAATGCGATTGCTTTATAAAAAAGAGCAGTATTTGGAAATACATATGAGGGTTTTTACTCTCTAGAAAATAATTTATGCAAAAGTACATACGCGGTTTTGCACTATCTTGATACGCGGTTTTGCATTTTGTTGATACGCGGTTTTGTACTTTAAACGACGATATGTTTGTGTACATGTATATATGCACATATGTATGTAGTACAAACGAAAACAAATCTAATAAGCTGCACGTTGATATAAATGCGAACTGTACTGATTGTCAAAAATTATGTGTTTGTTGTACATTTGTTCATGTTTGTAATTGTGCGTGTAATTTTCTAGAGTAGTTTTGTGCTCTCGCTATCTCCTTGTATTAACTCGTCCTTCGTTGGTATACTCATGGTATGAACACATGTGAGGATGATAGCAAGGCCAACTTATATAAGGTAGTGTTATATGGTAGACAGAAGGAGAAAATTAATTAGAATTATTAAGCACAAATGCAAATTAAAATTTTACCCTTACAGACGGCAGTAATGCGGATAAACCAGCCGCAAGGTCGTGGGTTCGAGTCCTACGGCCAGTACACTTTTTTTATTTATAAGTTCTATATTTTTTTACGTTGCCTTCAGTTATGTGGTTGTTGACTTTTTAATAAAATTCAACTCTAAAAATTTAAATTAACTAATAGTAAAATAAGAAATGTGATATAAAATAAAGTAAATGAAAACAAAATAAAGTAAAATTAAATATGTAAATAAAATAAAATAAAATAATATAAAATAAATAATAAAAATAAAAATTTTTTCGCAATCGCTCCAAACGAAGATCGAACCTGGAAGCTACAGGCAACTCTCCCGCAACTCTCACCATTCGGCTACTGCGTACGCGAAACTCGCCTGCTTCGTTTGCTTATTTGTACAAAAGATAACA